GGCCCAGATCGAGCATGATCTCCACCCAACCGGTTGTCCACGAGAAGTGCGTCGGGCAGGCGCTCAGGCAGGGCGTTGAGGATTTCCTTGATGCTCTCATCTTCCTGGATGATGTGGCACTCCCTCGTTATCTCCCACTCCTCTCCCTGAGGGGCGGAGGCGCCTGTGCTGGCGACTGTGGGAAAGCGCCTGTGGTTGATTAGAGCCATGAGCCAGCAGCAGCGTGGTCAAAGAGGCATTGCTGCTTGAGGGCACTGGCCATTGAGTAGAAAGCCTGGAGGAGGAAAGCCACGTTGAGGCTGGTGTAGCCCACCATCTCCTTGGTGAGTGGCACTGGGTCCAGTACAGTCAATCTCTGGTCCATGCCTTCTTGACTGCCTTCTTGAGCTTGTTCTGTGAATTGGCATAGAGCTTGAGCATGGGGTTGAGCACCACTTGGTTTTGCTTGCCCACTGTCAGCACTGAATGCCCCACTATCTTGCACTGCACAAGTTGTCAGCAGTGGGCAGTGGGTGGATTGATCTTGTGTCAACGAACCTAAGGTTGGTGCACCTGAATGTACCTTGGGTGTTGAAGATGTGGTTGAGTAAGATGCTGTGCTCTGCAAACAGTGTGCTTGTGTTGGCCTGCAGGTTGTGTCCCACCTTGAGCATGTGCACATCCTCAAGCACTTGCTGCAGTCTGCCCTTGCTGAAGAGCTGGCTTCCACCCTTGGTCATGTTGAAGAGGAAGCACTGGCTGCTTCTTGTGGTGATCTGTACAAGGCACAGAGAGCTGCTCTTGTTGCCCAGGTCAATGCCTTCACAGTCAAGCACAAGAGGGTGGTCATGAGCAAGTATGCTCTCCACCACCTCTCAGCAGCATTGCACATCTTTCACAATCACCACTGCAGCCATTGCAGGGCTCTCAGTGGTTTTAGTGGTCAGAGTTGGAGGGGCAGGCTGGTTGGTGGAAGCTGCTGCCTTGGGTGTCAGCTGGGCAGCAGCAGCAGCCCCCAAGGTTGGCTGTGGAGCCACAGAGGAAGCTGCAACCAGTAGACATGCCCTGAGAGCCACAACAAAGGACAAGTACCTCACTAGTGTGTTGTTTTGCACACAGGACAACCATCCAGTTCAAAAATGCCATGTAGTGGGGGAGATTGGCTGGTGATGAGGAATTTGTACCATGTCAGGTGTGTTGGCCCTTGGTGTGTTGGAGTGCATGGTGGCCTTCTCACCTGCCCAGGTGAGGAAGAAGCCCCACTCTTCCAGCAGATCCTTGAGGTAGACTCCCATGACCTTGCAGAGGGTGTCCAAGTTGGCATTGTTCTTCAGCTTCACATAGGCCTGGACCAGGGCATCCAGGTCACACTTGTTGTTGGGTGACAAGTAGGGTGGCCATGTCCATCTTGAGTGTCATGAGCCATGCCACAAGCTTGGCTATCTTGTGCCCTGAACCCACTTTGCCTGTCATGACCACTGTGGGGAAGAGGTTCAAGAGTTGCTGGAGCTTGGTGGTGTGCTTGCGCCAGTCAGTGGGGAGCAGTGTGCCCAAGGTGGTCAGTGGAACTCCCTCCACCCACTGGGTAAGGAGCGTCCACAGCTTCTCCTCAATCACAGCCAGAGGGGTATACCCCTACCACATTGCCTTGTCTTTGTTCATGTGGTGGCGCTGCATGCATGGGGGTAGGCCCTTGCACAGGATTCTAGCTGGGCTTTTTTTGTCCAGACCTTGGGTGGAGAAAGGGGGAACGTGTACTGACAATGGTGACTATGGTGTTGCCTGGGCATGAATGGAGCTTGCATGCCAGGAACTGATCTTGTTTGGTGATGAGGGGTCCCACAAGGGATGGGAATTCGGTGGACAGCTCCTTCACCATCTCTGTGATGATGTCTGAGTTCTTCATGCGTTTGATGTCCTCCTCCTGTGTGTGTGTGTGGGACAAGTGACGCCAGGATGTCCCACCCACTGCTTGAGATCTCCTACCCTGGCTCCTGAAAGAGAGGAAAAGAGGGAGGTGCGCACCTTGATGTCCAGCGATGTGTCCATCAGTACAAAGTACAACAGCTTGAGCTTTTCCCAGACGCTAAGGTTGCCCCACGTGCGCTTCAGGGTGATCTATCCACAGGCGCACACAGGTCATCCACTGGTTAGCGGGAGTTCGGAGGAAGACCTGAATGAGGGCGCAATGGCGGGTGTGTGTGTGGTGTGTGTGGTGCCACGTTGACGAACCTCCACCGGCCGGTCGCCAAGCACGATGCGAGCGCCGTACTTCATTCCCTCCTGCGCGGCGGCCCTGAACTCGGAGCCCGGCATCACCTTGATGTTCTTTGTCACCCGCTCAAATACTGCACCAGCCCAGAAGAGAGCCATTGCAGGTAGCGTTACAAAAGTCCAGGGAGCGAGTGTGAGAGGGCCAGATGGCTATACCCATCGAGATGATCAGGTGCAGGATGTTGGCGCCTTCCTTTCGTCGTCGCAGCAGCTCACTTATCTGGCTCATGGTAGAGGGCGCCTTCTCCGCCTGCACCACCGTGGCGGCCACAATGGGCGAAGAGGCAGGCGCGTTGGTGGTCTGTTGTGACTCCGTCTGCTGCTCCCTGGCACCGTCAGCAGGTGACTGCTGCTGCTGGATGGTGTCGGCGGTGGGTGGTGGGGCGGGCTGCTGCTGTGGCGCGAAGAGAATGCCAGCCCGACTTGGGCACAACTCCACAAACACCGTCGTAGGCTGTATGCGACTGATGACCTGTGTCCGTGTGGTGCGTGCGTATGCCATTTGACACCCCCCCCCTGTTCAATTGGAGGGTCTACGAGGGGAGGCACAAAGCGGATGTGTGTTGAACACGAACCTGGGTGACGTCGTCGACGCTGGCCTGAGAGACGTGAGCGGAGCCGATGAGGAACACGTCGCCACCGTTCCGTGACTTGAGATGAATCACGGAGCGCGGCAGCTCCACCTCTCGATCGCCAATGATGTATCTGCGGGGCTCTTCATCTTCTTCTTCTTCTTCGCTGTCGTCCTTCTCGCCTGTCGTGCGCTTCTCTTTGGCTCGCTCCTCCAGTTTTCGCAAGTACTCAGCCAAGGGTCGTTCTTGTTGTTGTTGCTGCTGCTGTTGCTGTTCCGATTCGTCTGCGATTTGTTCTCTTTGTGTGGTCTCCATCTTGTGCTCGTCACAAATCGGTTATCTTCTTCTTTTGTGGTGCGCGCCAAGTCTGCATTTTCTCTTCGGGGGAGCAGGGGGAAATAGGGAGAGGAAATGGACACGTCACGCTGAGCCCCCGTGACGCGACTCACCAACAACTGTGTGCCCCACCTGCTGGCGCAGCGGGCCAGTCCATCCGCATCACCGCCGCACAGCATGGAGCGACGGA